CTCAGATCATTTGACTAATATAATATCCTTCTATGCATTTAATTTTGAAGGATAATATTGGCTTTGCAAAAGGCAATAAAAGACGACGACACTTGGATCAGTGGCAGTGCTCTTGGTGTTTGCGTCCAAAGCTCGTGCCACTGTGCACCCATTTATAGTGGGTATTTACTGATTTTGATGTTTTTACAACGCTACCAACTATTGCCACTTGATGGAAGACGAGTAGATACTCTGATACAACGAGAGCACCAGTGTGTCCGCGGGATATTGCCAACAGTTGGGGCCACTAGTTGGCACAGAGGGGAGGGATAACTATGGAGCGAAGTTTTGGTCTCGTAAACTATTGTAAGTGGGTCCACTGACATGCTCCACAAGTCGCATGGGCGGTGCGAAACCAACATTACGACATGAGGCGCAAAAGGCAATTTTCAGTTTTGAGTTGGTAAATAGTTGTCACTAAGTGGGATCTACATTTGAGAATAAATCTACTCTTTTTAATATGTAAAGAATGGCTCGTCCAATTCATTGTTTGAATGTTTAAAGTGGATTCGATTCAACGCAGAATGTATCGATGAATTGCGAATTAAAATGGCTTGAAGTAGAGAATGTTTCAGTTTGTCGAGAACGGAGGTGGTCGATGTAGATTTATTCAACCATTTGCGCTTAATAAGTTGGGTTCGCTAAGTATACAAAACCACAGAAGCATTCCTTCCCTTGATTTCAGCGACAATCTTGTCGCCTCTGCTCAGGTGAGGGGGAATGCAAGTGCATCGAGTTTTGGTTTCAGTTTGAAATGTGGCTCCTGGTGCATGTCTTTGCAGGTAGAGTAGCACGTGCTGGTCGTTCGGGAATGGCTATCTCTCTAGTGGACTCTGAGGAACTTCCATATTTGATGGACCTCTTCGTCTTCTTGGGCAGAGAAGTGATTACCTGCCATGTTGCCACCTCCGCACAGCAGACCAACTTTTCCGATTGGCCTAATGAGCTGCTTGGTTCGTGTCCCCGAGATCTCATCGCTTTTGGTCTGGAAAGTGCCAAGAAAAGAGAGAGGGAGAACGCTTCTCTGGTGGGTTGAAGATATTAACTACTTGTCAGATGGCACTTTTTGGATAAAGATTTGTCCTCTCTATTGTGGCATTTGGTCAATGCACGAACAACCGTCTACTTAGGCAGAAACATCTCAGGTTGTATAATGTCTTGCTTATGTGCGTTGAGGTTCGTATTTCAGTCTTCGTTTGCACACCATAAGGATGTCTCGTCCGATTTTCCTCCCCTTGTGCAAAACGTCATATGTGCTTCTGTTGATTCCCAAATCGTATATCACCCAGAATGAGAGTGAGTGTTACGATGGTGTTCACATTCTGGCGGCTTTGTAGTTTATATGACTCGAGGCAGCTATTTGCCAACAAAGATGGGGAGGAGAGAAGGAATGGGGAAACTTTTCCTGTGGAACTTCTTAAACGTACTTCCTCAGTGTTTATGACTAATGTGCGATGTCCAACAAATAGACGTGCTTTCGCTTTTCTGCCACTGTCGTAAATGGGCGATTCCAATAGCTCTCTGTGTGCGCTCACACGCTCTAGGCATCGTTACACGATGGGAATGATAAGCATTCATTTTATCAGGCATAATAGGCCGCAGTGTTGTAAAATTTTTCGTGCCCTTGGCCCAGTAAGGTTCATAAAAAGCTTGTCCATTCATTTAGGCCTCCGCTGCAACAGTCTGCAAACGAGCTCTGAAGAAGTACATGGCAACTCGGCCAAAGGCCAGTGCGGAGTCCGTGCGTCGGGC